TACTGTGACCTGCAAAATGACAAAGCTGTGACAGAGATCTTTCTGGTGAGACCACACTGGAAGAGCTGCTTCACCAACCACATGCACATGGGCAATGTGAGCTGATGGAAAGGGCCCCTCCAGCTCCTTCACCCCACTGTAGTCAGTGTGGGTCCAACACTGTATAGACTGACTGCAAGAGTCAGTCCCCTCAGTGCACAGAGGAGAGAAGACATGCTGCGTTGCAAAAAGGACCAGGTAATTACAGGAGCTGCAAAGTTTTGTGCTTTTTTCCTTTTTTTTTTTTTTTTTTTTAATGTAGTATCTAGCTCTCAGGTGAGAGCAGCTTATTTATAGGCATACTTGTGCTACAAAGCATTCAAATTCATCAGTTAATCTAGGATCCTATTACTTATACTTTCATATGAGCATATAACAAATACTGTGAAGACAAAAGCAAAAAAAATCAGTGAGTGCAGCTGAATCAGGAAAGATTTTGAATTGTCTTAATGATACTGCAACAATGAGAACGCCATCTTTTATTTCTTGTCCCCTCATTATGAAATAAGTAGTTATGTCCTGAAAATTATCAGGCTCTGAAAAGTTAACAAATATTTGCCTGAATGACAAAATTTTCATGACAGAACATTGTCCTGAGAACAGTTATTATGCAATATGTTTACAGATAGCTTTGACAACAAACTGAAAAAGCTTTCTAATTTAGTGCTCATCATTAATTACCAACGCTTATAAAAAAATCTTGAGCATCATGGTCACAACACTTGATGCTTTCCTAGATCTTTAAGCACTTCATTAAAATAACTATTACAACTCAGGAATGCAAAGCAGTCTAAGGTGGCTGTTGCTGTGCAGATCTAGTGGTAACTCCAGAAGGGAGTGGCTTTTTCAGAGAGTGATTTTTTATCAGAGTTTTTTACTTTTTGCTGCAGGGATTATGTAGGAGCAGCTGCAGCTCTCCACACTTGAGATGTCTGTGCAAATTTATTTAGTTTCTGAAGTACTAAAATATGCTTTTCCTCCTTTTTTTGGGGGTGAGGAGGTGGAGCAGGGACAGACTTTCAGCTATTTGGTTCTGTTCCAGACTGTTCCTGGTGAAGCCTGTCTCAGAACCCCTCCTGGAGAACCCTTGCATGTCTGCCCATGATAAATAACAACTCCCATGATAAACTTAGGAAAGAAGGCAGATGTCAGATTTTGCTGAATTAGTCCAAACTGTCTATTCTCCCCCATCCAGGGCCTGATCCCATTATAACATTTGATTCTTGAGGTTGGTGTGCAAGTGAGAATTACAAAAGTAAATGTGGCAAGGGATTTCCAGGTAACCAAACAGGCATCTCTGCACTTTTTCAGAAGCTTTTTACACTTCCCTTTCTGGTGATTTTGAGTTAGTTCTCACTGCTAGTTTATTCTCATAATCAAAACAATTATGGAATGGGAGCACTGTGATAACAGCTTTCTAAAAACTACACAAAACCCCCCATTGCTTTTCTGCAGCATCCCATGAAGAGCAATGTTCACCAAGACACCCTCATTTCAATTGCAAATCTTAAATGTGACAATTTTTTAGAATGTGTGTGAGATTGCACATTTAAATGAGAGCTGGGTTAAAGCTGGTATAAAACTGGTACTATTATCCTCCTGATGCAATCACTGGATTTGTGTTGGCGTGGTGGGAGAGGGTGAAAGACTCCTTTTTGTGGAGCTCCCAGACTCCACTGCCATATTTATAATTGCACAGCTCCCACGTCAGCAATGCCAGTGGTTTCTTGTCCCTCTGGGTCAGAGATGCCTTTCTGACTCCATCCCTGCCACAGGATGCACACCTTGTTTTCTGGCACTGTTCTGCCTTCTATCAGCTAACTCTGTAACCACCACCAAGGAAGCAGTTATACAAGTATGGTTTTATGCTGTGCCAGAAGGGAACCAGCTCAAGCTTTACCCCTGGCTCTGCCACATGCTTCCAGTGAACTGCAAGCAGTGAGGATGTTCTCAGACATGGCCACTAATATTGTTTCACTAATTTTTCTGACAGCTGGAGCCTGATCTTTCCAAAGCATTGTGCTTTCTGAAAAGCTGCCAACAGTGATTGGATAGAGCAGAGAAAGGTGCTGATGCTCAAGCCCTGAGTGTATGAGGGAGAGGCTTTAGAAGGTGGTAGCACATTTACAAGTGGTCACACTTGGTCCATCTTCTGTGGGAAGGGGCAGGAACACCTGCAGTTACAGAAGAGGACATATATATGATGTAAGTCAGGGTGAGGGTGTCTCCTCTTTTGGTCACCATCTCACTCTTGTAGGTACCAATGGAGATTCCCAGCTGAAATCCTCTGCCTCAGCCATCAGATAATTTGACCACAGCCATCACATAACTTGGCAATAGAACCCATTTTTCAAATCACATATAAACGAGTGACACAAACTAGTTTATGTGACTCATGCTCTCTGAAAAAGCACTCTGTAAACATTTTTTATGGTTAAAAATTATTGTAATCTGTCAATTACAGCATGCTATGCAATGGGGCACAAATGTTCCACATTTCTGTCATTTGTCACACATTGCTATGGCCTGTGTCACACACTGGCAAAGCTGTAAAGGTTGAGAAGTTCAGTTATGTCATGAGAGTATGAATGCATAGCAGGCAGTGTCTTCACAAAAAGAGATTTTGAAAACCAGGAGAAAGATGCTGCTCAGCGGGAACAAATGAGTAGAATGAATCAACTATATACACACAGGTGGGGATGAATGACTCTAGGAAAGGACATCTGAGTCATTATGGATCATAAATGGTGGGAAAAAATGAAGCCACAGAAAAGGCATGTGCTGTGCGGTGCTGCATCAGTAAGTCTCTCCTGCAAGAATCGAGACTGCTCTTTAAAAAATGAGAATGTGGACACACTGGGGAGGGTCCAGAGGACAGCAACAATCACCCTAAACATGAGCATGAACATAAACATAAAAGCGTGAATAACATCTGAAATGCTTAAACAGGGCAACAGAAATGATATGCATTTAAACTTTAGATGGTACTCTGGCTTCAGCAGTGCAGCGCATCATTAGGTGCCAAACTCTGCAGTGGGATATAGAATTTTCCTACCCCTGTCAGACACACACTGTTTGTATTTACCCTTTCACAGTTCAAATTCAAATGCGGCTGAGTGCATGGGAGAGGCTAGCCCTCCAGTAGGTCATCCCTTTTCATTTTCAAGGAAGGTTGTTTAGATAGACAAACTGCTCCATGCTTCTTCTGGTAGAAGGATATTAATTAATCAAACCTTGAGTCAATTGCCCTCTTTAACCTTTAAAGTCTTACCTTAAGAGCACTATCACTAGACAATATATCAAAAGGCATTTTGTTTTTAGAGTGTGCTTGTAATGAAAGCGTGGCTCAGTTTTCAGCAGAAATTACTAGTTTGCTTGGTGCAGCTGGTAAAACCATTTGGTTGGCTCAAATCTACTTTACAGACTCAGCAAAAGGACGGTTGTGATATTTCATGAATATGACCTGTGCAACACAGGACACGCAGCTCTTGAGATGGTAGAGGAATTAGTGAGGAGAGAAAAAGATCCTGATGCAATGTTTGGCCAAACATTCTGTGTTTGGATCATGGGGCCTGTGTGTGCACATACATGTGCCTGTGAGCACACGAAATTTTGTGTGGGGATGAGGGGAAAGTAATATTCACAATTCATCAGCTTAGTGTCATTTGGTGAATGCTGGATGTTTATTGCTGGGGATAGAATAGACATTTCCTGTGGGAGAAGACTATTATTGGAGTAATTCCAAAAAGTTTCAAAAATTACTCTATGTGTTTCTGAAACATTCTAGAGGTTTTTAGACATTTGTAACATCATCCAGGTCTTTAATCAATAACATGTATGGGCCTGTTTACATTATATTCAGCCAAACTGGAGACTTTGTAGAACGAGGACAGTTATTTAAAGTCATCCAGAAATCTGGCCTGAAGATCTTGCTATTAAAAAAAGAACTAAAATATGTCATATTGTAACTAAAAAAAAAATTCTATTAAAACCCAGATTCCTGAAGGTGCCATGATTTGAAACCTGTGATCTCAATACAAGGTTATATACAGTCTGTCTTGTCAATTCTAAGTGTTCAAAAATCATGAAATTAGCATGAAAATGAAAATCTCTCCTAAAATGACACATTCGTTTTTGGCCTCTGCACTTTTGAACTTTAGCTGCTCAGATTTTCAAGCTTACTTTTGCAATCATCATTAGAAATTAACAAAAAAATAAAACTGCAGAGGAAAGAAGTACAGATTTTTAAGTACATTAAGGAGTGAATGGCCTGATGCTTTGTCAGGAAAGCTCTGAGTACTAAGAGTCTCGCAGTAATAGCCTAAGTGTTGGCCCCTGCAGAACAACTGGTGTCTGTGTGTGAATTTTACAAGACACTGTCCACTGCTTACCTTTTAAGCGCTGCATTGGTGGAATATATCATCTGGCTACAAATGTCTTTTAAGATAATTGTTCTGTCTATCTATGTTTCTGAGTTGCTTTTTATTACAAAGTAGGTATCTCTAAAGAACAGCTGTCTTAATTAATGTTTGCAGATCTTTAGTCAATAGTCATTAGTATTTTTTTACGACAGTTGACCAAATCAGGGCTAAGATCCAACTGACAGCTCACATCATCTACACTGGTTGAATTCACAAAAGTAGGAGCTTTTATTGCCAACCTAGGTAAACAGATGCCATGGGGAAAATGTGCTACTGCAGCAAGACCCATGGCCCTTACCTCCCTTTTGCAGGCAGTGGAAAGAAATGCTGGATTGCATTTTTTGACTTGCTTGCTATTCTTGCTCAACAGGGAGAGGTTTAATGGGAAGCTGTGGACCAAGGCTGCACCCGAAGAATTTGTTTTTCAGGGACAGTGCAACCTTTGTCTAATGCACACGCAGATCTTCAGAGGGATTTAAATACTTAAGTAAGGTGGTTGACACATAAGGAGATTTGCTAAAAGGGTCTAACTCACCCCATGGAGTAAAATGATTCTCCCTTTCCTGCGTCCATCTCATACAGTCTTTAGGGGGAAAAAAAGACAAAGGAGAGTGAACACATTTGTCACGTGTTGGCCATGATTCCTTCTGCATAGGGTCATTTCTACAACTTCATCCACTACCAGCGGGTCCCAGAAATTTGCCACACAGGAGCATCCATCACCAATAGGTGAGCATGTATCTTCCACAGCTTTTAACGTCAACCTCAATGCCATTCTCTCAGTACATCTCACTGTTCTGTGTGTGTGTGTGCGTGCGTGCTGTGGGTCTGGAGTATGTTCAATATGTGAACTTGCTTAATCAAAGAACGAGATAGCCATAATCCTGACCATTGCCAGGTGGGTAATACACAGCAGACTGAAGCCTGTGCCAGGAGGAATTTTGCTTTTGTCCACTCATGAAAAATCTGCCCTGATGTGTTCCTTATCTGAGAGGGG